GAAAAAGAAAACATTTATTATAATCTATTAGTTCGTGAAAATGTAATTATTTTAACATTTTTAATAAAGTCTAGCAGCGACGTAGAACACGGTTTCGTTATACCACAGTGGGAATAAATTAAAACCATTGTTAAACACTTTCTCTTTATTTCGTGTATCCGTTTCACAATTCATCTATTTCCACTCAATTTTTTAATGATTCCCTCCAAACTTTGAAGACAGAAACCTTCCCATCTATGTTTTTGTTTCATTCTTCCATCCTCTTTCATTTGGGTTTGCACTAAATCCATTAAAAACTTAAATTTCTCCGCGGGTTTTTTCATAGGCTTGCAGCTGTGTGCGTTTGCTTCGATTCTACTGCCGTGCCGTCTTACAAGTTCGTCTTCCCGTGAAGTTTGATGGTGTTTGCAGTGGTTTGGTGTAGGACAATTGGAAATGGTTTTTCACCAAATTCTACTTTGAATTTCTTAATTACAAATTATATTATTACAGAGAATTGATAAATTAAAAATTATTTGTAATGAACTAAAATATTACATTTATTAATAAATTGAAAAAAAAAACATTAAACAATACTACAATTAAAAAATCACATTGAAAATTCGTTTTTTAATGACAATTCGTTTTACACTTATTTATCGACATTTATATGTTCATCCCATATTTGGTGAATATTTTGACGGTGTAAAAAACATATTTTTAAATAACACTTCACGCGATCAATAATCTCATGATTTGGTAGCCACTAATTGCAATAGCGTGCCACATAAACAATTCAATTACCCATGTCATCAATTTTGTTACTTTTTCGAACGGTCATTGATTGAGTTATGGATAGGGTTACATATTACAAAGCTACGTATTGAGAAATTCAGTGCTTAATAGGAAAAATTTTAAACCTACTGGAAACTTTGTGCAAAGTTCCATGCTCAATCAAATTATTAATCCCTCCATGTCATGAACAACTTCATGATTTGGCAATTGCTAATTGCAATATCGTGCAACATAAGCAACTCCGTTTGCCACTTTATCAATTTGATCATTTTTTCGAACTACGGTTGATTGAGTGATGAATGAAGTCACATATTATAAAATTCAGTAATTAATTGGAAAACTTTTAAAGCTCAATGACTTAATGAAAACATTGTGCAAAGTTCATTGCTGGCAAACCGATATCATCTCCTATGGCATCATCCCACTCTCTAACGGCTTATGACAGTGATCCCTTCCCCGATACAACTCTTTTTCGAAGCACTGTTGGATCACTTCAATATCTATCTCTCACTCGACCTGACTTGGCATTTGCTATTACCGTGTGTGCCAATTTATGCATCGTCCTACCAAACTACACTGGCAGGCCGTGAAGCGCATACTACGGTACCTAAAACACACATTTTCTCACGGTCTGCTCATTACTAAGTCATTGAAACAGCATCTTGAAGCCTTTTTCGATGCGGATTGGAAAAGGTTGACCTTTTAAGATGGACCCCCAATTCTTTGACATGGTATCAGAGCCCAT